CTTGACGGTGCGACAGTCTACAGGCATTACGAATGGACAGTGGAATGCTAACAATGTAAAAAGGTTTATTGGGCGAACCAAACGGGCAGGTGGGAGATTGGAGATAGCGACAGGACGAGGAAGATGGAGGAGCTCGAGCGCCGATCTCGTGGTGCCTTACTCTGCGATGATGCTTGCTGTTTCCTTTTGTTATCATCATTCCTTCATTATAATTGCCCCCGTCGAGAAAGATCAAGCCATCCTGGCGATCTAACAAGTAGGAACGAGCGGGTCGAAGTACGGCTTCAAGCGGTCCACGTGAACAATATCGTGTCCACGCCGACGATGGTCACCGGGTGGCGTAAGCGGTTCGATGGCGTAATTGACGGGCGATGTGCGCTCTACCACGCGGTATGGGCCATGGTAATTTGAAAGTAGCTTGGTAGACAAACCAGGTGCACAGGGTGGTACATACAGCCATACAAGGGTTCCAGGGGCGAACTTGGCGGCAGGAGGGTGGTCGTCATCGCGGGCCTTTTTCTGGCGTTGCTGGTCAGCCGTAGTAAACTGCTTCGCTAGTTGGCGGCATTCTTCGGCGTGACGGGCAGCTTCAGACACGGTCGTGAACTCAGATACATCTGGTGCGTATGGCAGCAAAGTGTCAATTGTGTGCGATGGTTGACGTCCGTATAAAAGGTAGAATGGAGAAAATCAATAAGGATTCTAAGCTAAGAATCCCTCTCACTGATGTTCCCACTGAAAACCAAATAAATGCTTTATTTTCTCTCTCACTAATTATACAGTTGCTTGCATCATTCACTAGAGCAAATTCTAGCACCACTAGCCACCATAGGAAACGATGGGTAGACTTATGGCGTAGTGGGCTCTGGCACTGCGATTATGTAGTGGGCTTATAGAACTGAGACTTATGGCGTAGTGGGCTCTGGAACTGTACTTGCAGTCAGCAGTCTAGAATAGTTTGACAATGTTATGCCCACAGTGCCCACAGTGATTTGTTTCGTCACGGCACGGTTGAGGCATGCACCAAGAACTGAGAAGGCAATGTGCCGGATAACTGTACTCTCAAAGGCATGCTCCAAGTTTTTGTTAGGAAACTCCATGCATTGAATGACTGATGCTATGGCTGCTCGAGTTCCTTGTGCAACAGACTAGCCCAGTATACACCCACATTGGTAGACGGAACTCAGTCGTGTGCGCGAGCCGCTGAGTTACGTTGCGATTTCCCGCCAGGCACCCTAAGAGGCTTCATGTGGGCGCGTATTCATGTTTTAGGATGGTGACAACTTCTATCATGATTGCTTACAACAGGCTAAAACGGCCACCATACTTGACAGGCTGCCATGTTGGTTCTCAGCGGTCGCTCATTTGCATTGAAGGCAGGCAGCGCAAGTTTCAATGAGAAGGGGGTGGTTTTTTTTATATAGCAAGCTCTGAAAGCTGAAGGGTTGTTTTCTGAAGTTAGCCGCCTTTTTGTAAAACAGGGAAAACGTCTTCGTGACATGAGTTTGTATACAATATTGTTAAAACAGTTAGTTTCTCTCACCTGGTAGACCCACCACATTGGCGGAGGGTCTACCAGGTGAGAGAAACTAACATTTGCGAGGGATGAACCTCGATGTCACTGTGAACAGACTTCAATGTTTGCGCAGCATTCCAGTAGCAAACACACCTTTTAACTATAGACACATCAAAGGCCTTCTAGTGCAAGGCTCGAGACCATGCTATAGTATATGATGGTACGCATAACGACAGAGAAGGCATATCAAACAACCAGGTAACTCGCGATTTTCACTGTTAACAGCATAACTTCGCTAGCCTGTTCCTCATACACTAAGTATTGCTTTTATGCATAATATAATTTCCTGCAGCAAGTTTACTTCCTACAGACGGATTTGTACATTCGACTGTTTAAAAACCTTACAACCTGTAAGCATTGCCAGAAAATAGTAAGGTGCACTCAATTATATTAAACCGACCCCCCCCCCCCCCCCCCCAAGCCTGTAGGCTAGAAGAAAAGCAAAGGGAAGCAACAAGGGACAAACCAAGTTTTTCCAGGTCAGATTTTATTGGTAACAGCATCTGACGTTAATTTCTTCAAACCGTCATGCCTTCTTTGCTGGTGTCCTCGCACTGGGCCTACAATAAACAGTAAGGCGAAAAGTTATACACGGCACCGACCACATATACAGAGTCCATACACATTTTCTCTACAAGCACTAAATTAAAATTGAGTTCACAATGTCAAATCATGTTTGTGGCTGGTCATGAAACAAAAGGACGACAAAAATAACGACAAAGCAGCAATCTCCCATAAGATATACTTGAGTTATGGCCCAACAACCGACTTGCTTAGTGCACATATGCTACACCATTTAGAACCGACAGACATACAGAAGGACGGACAGACACGAACAGTAAATCTGCTGGATTCTATATTATTAAAGTAGAATCCTTTTTGTCATTGTTGGGCGAGTTTCGGTGTTGTTCCGCCTGTCAATGAAGGAAAGAACGAATACCCCATGGCAAGCCACACAAAAATTACCTGTGTAGCAAGTGTGTAAAACTACAAGAGTCTACAGGAAACGCGTTCGTCGGCTCGTTTGTCTACCTGTTCAAATGCCCTTCTTCAGCAACCGAGGTGAAAGTGCAGGAACACGAACATCTGCCACCAAAGAAGGATGCGAACACAATCATTTTTTTGGTGCCTTAAGGGACCTGGCGTTTCCTGCGACAAATGTGGCAACGGCTTGGAAAACTGATGCAACGCAGACAGTGAATGCATGCTGCACCACACATTTGGCTCGTCATATAATTCGATTGGTTAACTGTGCTTCTTCTACGAGAAAAAACAAGCATACTCAAGTTAACCAACTTTCTCTCGCACAGCCCGGCGCAGCCCAATGAAGCCTGAACCATTTTTTTACTGTGCAAGTTTTCGTGTTTACTTTGCTTGAACTGCTTTTTGTCGAATGACTAAGTCACCATTTTACGAAATATGTGGCCATATACTCAACCCACTCGCAATACAATGGGTACTCACCTCACAAACACAGGGAAAAGTAGTCGGCTCCAGGCAATGTCGCTTCACTTGTGTAATCCAGTGTTTCAGTGGGCTAGAGCAAGCCGGGAAGCAAAACAGTCTCCAGATGGTTTCGCATTGCGGCACGCAGCACCCTGGCTTTACACTCCAAAGTTCTTGTAGGCGCGCTTAGCGTGAGAATGGTGTCGTAGCGGAAGCTAGGTCTACGGTGTAGTCAAACGCAGCTCATACTGCAGCTTGCACACCCGCACCCATGCCAACATGCAGCTGGTGCAGTGCGGCACAGCAGGAACTCCTGGCCGCGAGAACTAACATGGCGCTTGTTGCCATGGAAACCGGCAACGGCAACAATGTGTTTAAGCCGGCGGTGGCAAGTGGTGGGTCAAAGGCTGGCACCACCCTAATACACGGAGACGCGCACGCATGAAGGCTCCCTAAGAATGGATGGATGGATATGGCTGTACCCTTTAGATCGGGCGGTGGCTAGTGCCACCAAGCCGTAATACTTAATGAACCAAAAACTAGATTTATTTTATTCTTTTTCCCTTAAATAGTGAGTTTGAGGATTTGTACTTTGAAGCGAAGGGTTTAATTTTCACTCGTGCCTTGACTTTAGCCACCAATCAGATAAGTTAGTTAATTCTACCCGCTTAAAGTCTATTCTGCCCTCCCTGTCCCTAAACCCCAGTGCTTTGAAAAACTCTGCGTTATCATCCTGAACTATAGGGTGAAGCCCTTTACAGAACATTATCAAGTGTTCGGCAGTTTCTTTCTCCTCTACACATGCACTGCACACCGTGTCTACCCCTTGGTATTTGGCCCGATATGTCTTGGTTCGCAATACTCCCGTCCTGGCCCCAAACAGAAGAGAACTACCCTGAGTATTATCATAGATCCTTTCCTTGGCAATTTCCTGCTTAAAAGTCCGAACGATCTTTAGTGCTGACTTCTTAATGATGCCAATTCTCCAGATATTGGTCTCCGTTTCCTTCACCTTCTTCTTAACCGATAGTTCTTTTTGGTTTGGTCCCCTGTTGTTTCTTTAGGTATTTACCCGTTAAAGTTCTGGTTCGCTTCCTCCATTTTGTATCAATATTATTCAAGTACAAGTAGCTGCAAACCTTCATAGCCCAATGCTCCTCCCCCATTTCTCTCAATCGCTTCTCAAATTTTATCTTGCAGCTAGCTTCCTTGCCCTCAAATGATGTCCATCCCATATCGCCTTGTACTCTCCGATTTGGTGTATTGCCGTGAGCTCCTAAGGCAAGCCTACCTATTCCACGTTGCTTAATGTCTAATCTTGCTTGAACTTCTGATCTCATGCACAAGACCGCATTGCCGAACGTCAGACCAGGAACCAGGTGTCCTTTTTCGGAGCGCCACCTATCCAGCGGGAGTCTCCCCACTTGTAAGGCGAAAGTACCGTGTAAGAATTGCTGAGATGACGAAAAGCTTGTCATTCGAGAGAAATGATTTACTGTAGAACATTGCACACGAACCAAAATAGCAACACAGCGTGGCAGTTTGGTCTAGTAGGTATGACATGAGAATAGTTATAGCGCGAGAACAGAACGACGACAAAATGTCCTTGTCTCTTTGTCGTCGTTCTGTTTTCGTGCTATAGCTATCGTCATATCGGCAACACAGCGTCACCTTTCACGTAGGATACGGCACTGCATGTGCTAGGCACGAAACATCATTTTTTAATAACGGATTACGTGTAATTAAATCATCTTCCAGAAAGCAAGCCGTAGGAGCAGCGGCACGATCGGGTGCTACGCCGACGAAAGCAGCGCAATCGCGCAGCAGCACAAGCCGGTTGCACTGCAACGTGCGCAAGACCAAAGGGGGTTGTCATCTCTCGAAAACCATGTAGAGTGCGCAGCTTCAACTGCCTTCGCTGCACGCATGTCATAGTAACGCGAATGGATACGCATGGGACGTCGAAAGGAGAGACTACCTTGGCGGCGGCGACGTCGATGGCCGACTGGTTGTAGAAGGACTGGACCGTGCGTGACTTATCCTTGGGCTGTGTCTCAGCGGCGGCACCCTTGCTGGCGTACGCGATGCAGCGCCGTGCCAACACCATGGGGCCCAATCGCTCGAGTGCAGCAGCGGATGTTGCCATACTCCGAGGAGGCCTCCCCGCATTGGGAGCCCCCGAGGATCAGCTGCTGCTGCTGCTTCGCTGCTGCTGGAAGCCAGCCACTCGTCCACGCATCGGAAAGCTCTGCCACACTACTACTGCAAGCACACACGCAGTCAAAACATGCTTCCGAGCTCACTGATAAAGCTGCCTAGATTCTCGCGCAAAGTGAGACTATTTTCGCTCTCGATACTCTACTTCGACTAATCTGAGGGAAAGTCGCTGATCCTCGCAAAACCTTGAGAAGGGAAACTACTGTACCTGCTCCAACGAAAGTAAGGGTAGTGGCGGCGTTCTGAACTAAAATGTGTGATCAGTGCGGGGATAACGCTGGTGCAATGCCTCTTCTATAAGATGCCCCGCGTCGCTCGCTGTTTGAAGGGGAAGTCATGGAGGAAGGAAAAACGCTTTCCTCCACTCTAGCACTGCCCCATGGAGGAAGAAAACCTCCTTCCTCCATGGCATAGAGTTTTCCACAATACTTACTAGAGGGAACTCTGGCGCTAGTGTCTACACGAAACCGAAACCGCTCATTTTGTTTCCAGCCAAAGAAGCAAGGTCACCATTGGAGCTACGTCATTTAGTGGCTCTAGTAATTATGGCCACTCAAAGACGAAACTTCCCAATTGTCTCGACGTCCTTTTTGGAATAGTACCTTTTCCATGTCTTGCCCTGACAACAGTTAGCTTTACCAAACGCCACCAAGAAGCGACATTTCTGCAAAAGGCGAAATAGCTTTAATTGAAAGAATTATTGAGTCAATTAACTGACGAAGTTAAACCAGCTTACATGTCAATAAGCATAATGTTCTTTTCAGCAATTTATTGGTTTTCACAGTGCACACTTTACGGCAGACACAAAGTAGAAAAATATATGCAACGTTTTTTTTTTTAATTTACAATCAACTCCACACCTTTTTTGCTTGAGGTGAATATTGCTACAATATACCAAAGCATGTTAAGAGAAACAAAGCAAGTAATGAATAGATACATGCAAGCATTTTTATTTACAAATCAACTCCACATCTTTTTGCTTACGGTGAATATGGCTACAAAATACAAAATCATGTTGACAGAAAAAAAGTAATGAATAGATACATGTATGCAAGGTTTTTTTTTCATTTACAACAAACTCTACAACTTTGCCAGCGTGCTTACAGCAGCTTAGCGCGTTTGCGCGCCGACTTGACCTGCACATTCAAGGCACGCTCTCGCTGAAGGAATCTGGAATAGAAATGCATGCGCGTCACCAAAAAAAAAAAAAAAAGCTCCTTATCCGGTGAAAGCTCCTTATCCGCACGCGGGATGGCCTTATTCCAAAGCGAGCGAAGCGTCGCATCTTTGGGAGCCGAAAAGAAGTACCTGTCCGTGTTGTTCTTGTTGCTGCTGTAGCCTCTGGTACACCCGGGAACGAAGCAGGTCGGCATTGTCGGCCTCAGCCTCACATGCAGAGGCCCACAGCAATGAAATACAGTCCCTGGAAAATCACTAAATGTGCCACTCGAACGGCATCGCTCATTCAGCACTTCTGAAAACGACCGCGCGAACAAGAAACGCCGGAGACCGGGGCACCGAATGCGCCGGCTACTGTGGCCAACGTTGGTGAACTGTGTATGTGCTGTGAGCGAGTGACTGCCGATAGATTTGCTCGTTGTTTTCTTCTCGTTTTGAGGTTGTGAACTGTGTTTGTGCGGTGAGTGAGCGACTGCCAATGATAGATTTGCTCGCTGTTACGAACAGTCAACAAAGTCACCGGCGTTCAAGGCCAGCCGCTTTCCCCCACGAAGTGCTGTCCGATTCCTCGCCGTGTCCCAGGCTTCACATGTGGAGTGCCATAACATTCAGCCAACATGCCGACGTGTTTTGTGCCTGGCTGCACAAGCGGATATAGGAGTAACCCCGACAAGCGGCACTTTTTTGCCCCACCGTCGGACCCCGAGCTTCTTGACAGGTGGCGAAGGGCTATTCCCCGCGCTGATAAGTTGCTCGGCAAAACATGCAAGGTGCGCGACGTTCACTTTCTGTCGGCAGACATCACGAAAACATATAAGCATATCGTCAATGGTGAAGTGGTGGAGGTTGAGCGGGGTGCATGGGCTCTGAAAAGTGGTGTCGTTCCGACGCAATTCCCGAACTTACCCAGCTATCTGTCTTCTGCACCGAAGAGGCGGTGGTCGCCGAAAAAGAGAGCAAGTGCTTGTCGGCGTGCAGAGACTGTGTCTTGCCACCCACCTCCCGAAGAGCCAAATGAGCTTCCAAGTGATTGCGAGAGCACTGATCTCGCGTACATTATCGAGAACAGTGCCTCACTGCGGCTACTTCGGAATCGGCAGTTGTCAATTGTGGAAGATGAGCCAGAAAACAGCCGGCAAGCAGTTTTCTACGAGACAGGGATGAACGCAGGTGTTTTCTCTATCATGAAGAGCGTTGTGATACGAGAAGATCTTACGTACGTTATTTCAGCGAACGGAAAACTGCTGCAAGAGTCACTTGTTGACGTGCGGGTACGCTGCCAGAAAGACGTTGAAGCGACAGTGCAAATTGTGCACAGTATGAAATTCTGCCTTGGGTGCACCGGCAGTGAGGTCAGTGGTGCGAGATTTCGCCACACGTTAAAGATCCCCAGGTGGTCAAAATTAATCCGGCGCCCTCCACTACGGCGCGTCTAAACGCCGGCGTTGCGTCGGCGCGTTAAACCTTGCAATCAATCAAAACACGAATGGATTCAGGTTAGGACATCTGATTGGCAACGACAACATTTCCCTTCCTATCAAGGCCACGCGCACGCTTTCAGTCAACCCAAACGAGGGCCGGGTATGCAGGGCGCAGTTAAAGCATAAACTTGTGGCCTCGAATGTTCCGAATGCGTAGAAAATAATACAGCGGTGCGTTGCGACACGCATTAAGAACATCACACACCAGAGTGGAGCGCTTAAGATTTAAAAGCTGCAACGGGCGTAATAAAATCAGATGGCTTGCTAAGCCCGCTGCGCAAGCGCAACGTTGGAGCTAGCAGACGACGCTCGCAACGATAGCGCAACTCTCGACTGCAGCGCCACGGTGTCAGGAACCGCAGCGGGCCGGCTGCGTTCAATGGCCGCGGCGGCGAGTTTCTAAACTGAAATATATTTATAAACGTTGCAACGCATGGCACTTCAGCGAGCATGGGTTATGGTGGCTAGAAGGGGAGGTGGCGTCAGCGCCCATGCGCCGCCGCAGGGAAAGCGATTCGTCGTTTCATGACACGGCCGCGGTAGCCGGGGTGGCGCTCCGGCCAGCTCTTCAATGACAACGAAGGTAGTGAGCTTAGAATACAGGAGGTCACGCTAGAGATAACAGATAAATACAAATATCTGGGCGTATGGATAAGCAATGGGACCGAGTATCTGAGGGAACATGAAATATACGTGACGACTAAAGGTAACAGGAATGCAGCAGTCATGAAAAATAGGGCACTGTGGAATTACAATAGGTATGATGTTGTGAGAGGAATATGGAAAAGAGTCATGGTTCCTGGGCTGACGTTCGGCAATGCGGTCTTGTGCATGAGATCAGAAGTTCAAGCAAGATTAGAAATTAAGCAACGTGGAATAGGTAGGCTTGCTTTAGGAGCTCACGGGAATACACCAAATCAGGGAGTACAAGGTGATGTGGGATGGACATCATTTGAGGGCAGGGAAGCTAGCAGCAAGATAAAATTTGAGAAGCGATTGAGAGAAATGGGGGAAGAGCGTTGGGCTAGGAAGGTTTTCAGCTACTTGTACATGAAGAAAGTCGATACAAAATGGAGGAAGCGAACCAGGAAGTTGACTGGTAAATACTTAGAAAACAGCAGGTGGCCAAACCAAAAAGAACTATCGGTTAAGAAGAAAGTGAAGGAAACGGAGACTGACATGTGGAGAATGGGAATGATTAAGAAGTCCGCACTAGAGATCTATCGAACTTTTAAGCAGGAAATTTCCAAGGAAAGGATCTATGATAATACTCGGGGTAGTTCTCTACTGTTTGAGGCCAGGACGGGAGTACTACGAACCAAGATATATCGGGCCAAATACGAAGGGGTAGACACAGTATGCAGTGCGTGTGGAGAGGAAGAAGAAACTGCCGAACACTTGATAATGTTCTGTAAAGGGCTTCACCCTATAGTCCAGGATGATGGCGCAGAGTTTTTCAAAGCACTGGGGTTTAGGGACCGGGAGGGCAAAATAAACTTTAAGCGGGTAGACTTAACTAGAAGGAGGTTATCTGATTGGTGGCTAAAGTCAAGGCACGAGTGAAAATTAAACTCTTCACTACTGCAAAGTACGAATCCTCAAACTCACTTTTAAGGAAAAAAAAATATATAGTTTTTGGTTCATTAGGTATTACGGCTTGGTGGCGATAGCCACCGCCCGATCTAAAGGGTACAGCCATATCCATCCATCCATCGATGCCTGTCGAAAGCGAAGCGAGGGGGTTGGCGCTGTTTCTTCCGTCGTTTGTTTACCGTTTCGCGCACGTGTTTCTTTGTGCCTTACAGGCTGAGTTATTGGCTTTTTGTGTGACAAGTATGTCTCACAAACTTATTTCCAGTCAGTACTGAGTGCGGTGATCTAAAGCGCAATGAGCTCTGGCGTGAAACGGAAAGCGTCGCAGACGCACTGCTGCGCGCCGGGCTGTTCTTCGGGCTACGTCTCTGCGAGGAAGTCCGGTCGGCAAGTATCGTTGTTTTCTGTGCCCAAAGACTCTGAACGCTTCAAAGCCTGGCAGCGAGCAGTGCCACGTGCGGACAAACCACTGGAAGCAACCTCAGTTCTTTGTGAGCTGCATTTCGACGAACAGTACCTCGTGCGGTTTTTCACCCACACTATCAACGGTGAGACAGTGCGAATTCCTCGTGACCGACCTAAGCTTACGGATAATGCAATCCCCACCGTTTATCCGAACGTCCCTGCGTATTTATTGAAGAAACCGCCCCAGAAAAGAACGTCGAGGACGTCTAAGGGGGGCCTATCTGCAAAGATTCCGCGGTGTGAAGGAAGCGCCTCTGTGCACGACAACGCTGCCGACTCCCATGAAGACGGAAGCTTTTCCAACTCTCCAACCGCGCATGATATCGCGAGTTGTGAACCACCAAGTGCCTATTGGGCGAAGCACAGGATCGCTGGGGCGGACAGTGCTACAGCATTCACAGTTTGTGCCATGAATAACGGTAACCTCGCCTTGGAAAAAGTCGTTCTCCTCACTGCAAACGAGTGCAGCGTTCAAGCAAAAGTTTCCGTTCAAGCCACGGTAGTGAAGAACGTACAGGTCAGTAGCACTGCAATGGCGCAAGAGCTGCTTGCAAAAGCGGATTCTCTGATACCGTGCAAAGGATTCGGCGAAAAGGGCGAGTTCGCTGCTAATCCCAAACGCCA